CTTTTTCTTTTTTCTTTCTCTCTCTCTCTCTCTCTCCTCCTCTCTCTCTCTCTACATTACTCCTCATCCACCGTTGAACAGTACAAATTCGTCACCTCTCGAGGGTTGGGAGAATACTTGGGCGAGGCGGAGGAGGAATGGCAGCCCCCGTTCCCTTACGAGCCCTGCATCGAGGACGAGGAGTTGGAGGAGGAGAGGGTGGACGTCGAGTGCACCCTGATGATCATTAAGCCGGAGTCGTTGGTGTACAGGGAAGAGATCGAGAGGCGGGTGCTCGAGGAGGGATTCGAAATTTTTCAAACCCGTTGGCTCCAACTCACCCCGGAACAGGTGTCCCAGTTCTACTCCGACAAGTACGGCCAACTGAACTTCGCCTATCTGGTCGCGTACATGGCCTCTGGCCCGATAGTCGTCCACGTTTTGGGCAAGAAGAACGCTATCCAAGAGTGGAAATTGCTCATGGGCCCGACCAAAGTAATTCTACGATGAATATACGTATAAACGTGGTCAGTTTATAGCTGCGCTTAATCGAGATCCTTGTTCCAGGTCGCGGAAGCACGTTTGTATTATCCTGACAGTATAAGGGCAAAGTACGGGAGAAGAGGGGATGATTTTAAGAACGCCGTTCACGGAAGCGATAATCGGGAGAGCGCCGAGAAAGAGATTCACTTTTTCTTTCCTGACTGTACGGATCGTTATTGTTATTATTATTATTCGTAATTGGCGTCGTTATCAAGTTAGTTAAAACATTCGTTTTTGATGTATGAAAGTTACAAAAAATCGGCGGTGTTTGAGAATACTTTGCTTTCAAACATGTTCATCTTAATGATTCGTGGCTCGACGAAAAACGGTTTTTCGAAATAATTAGTCATCAAGTTTAAAAATTCGTTTCTGATGTATGAAAATTACACAAATTTCTCAAGTTATCAAGTTAAAATTACAAAAAATCGAGGATGTTTTAAAAATTTGTTTCTAATATGAAAATTATAAAAAAATCGGAGATGTTTAAGAAGATACTTTGCCTTCGAAAATGATTGATCTTAATGATTCGTGACTCGACAAGAACGGTTTACTTTTTCTCGAAATAATTGGATGTCGTTATCAAGTTTAAAAATTCGTTTCTAATATGAAAATTACGAAAAATCGGGGATGTTTGAGAAGTTATTAATCTTAATGATTCGGTTTGATTTTATTATTTAGAGATTGAAAAGAAACTTTTTCATTTTCTTTTTTTTTTTTTCAGTCATAGTAGAGCCTCTGTTGAAGAACGAAATGGCGGAAGATTACTTGTGGGAAGTGCTTAATCCTATACTCGTGGAAGCTCTATCTATGGTAAGCAACATCTACATTCCATCCATTCTAACAATCGATGCATAAAGATAATTTCGTTGGAAACAGTGTTGCAAATTAAAACCCGCGGATCCTATCTTATGGCTGGCCAATTGGTTGATCACGAACAATCCCAATAAACCGAGATTACCCCTCGAGCTCGCCATGATCCCAACCTGATCCGCAATGACGAGATTCGTTTGACACGATTTTCTATATTATTTTCTCATTATAAATTCACAAATAAATCGAATTTCACACGCATACTCACCTACTGCGCTCGTTTCCTTTTGAGATTCGTAACATGGCGTCCTCCTGTTGATCGATCTTCGCCCACCGCTCAAAACAGGACTATACCTATATCAAAGCCGAAATGATGAGAGGCAGGCGAGATGAAGAGAAGAAAGAAACGCGCGTACCTCGAGATCACCAAATCTTGCACAACGTTCACAAGTTCCTCGTCCTCGAAATAACCGTGGCCGAGCGTTTCGTTCTCTTTGGTTAACGCGCTACGCTTCTCCTCGCCGGAATTGCTCGTTTCTCGTTCCAGCAGCTTCTCTTTCTCGTCCGTTGGATTATAATTCCCAGCGAGATGAGTCACGCTCAACAAGTGAATCGTGTTCGACAAGGACTTATCGTTTACTTTGCGCCTCGCGCGATTTATCTCGTTCAATTGTGATCCCCAAGTGGAACTCCTACGCTCGAAAAGGAGATTAAATAATTCGTTTCGACGATTCTTTTTTTTGTTCTTCTTCGAGTGAAAAAAAAAAAAAAACAACGAGATCGAGAAAGATCATCGGTTCCTCTACCTGGGACGTTCCTCCTCGAAACGCACTCTTGCGACAGTTCCACCATTCTGCTCGTGATCGAAATCATCGCACGTGATTTCCGGCGGCGCGCCGATTAATCCATTGCCGTCTCGAATTCTCTCCTCGCTCGAACGAAGCCCGCCTATCCTCCTCCGCCTTTCGTTCCTTCCCCTTTCTTTCTTACCGGTTTTTCCGGCCCGCCTCCTCCCCCAGATCTTCGAAATCGGATCGAGAGAAAGGAAGAAGAAAATTTTTCGAGTTTTATTATAACACAAATCACTTCGTTCGAAAGATTTAACACTGCACTCGTATTTATGTTACGAGTAACAAGGTAACAAGAACGTAATTCTAGAATCTAACAATTGTTATACGAGTGTAAAGTAAGTTAAATCTCGATTATTATTAATTTTAATGCATAAAACATAAAATGGAAAAGATGATGAACGAACAAATTTTTAAAATTAATAATCAATTACGAGGAACATTGATGACGTTATATATATATTTTCGAAACCTTTGAAAGCGAAGTTGAAACGTGTTACGAATGCGGCACCTAGCTTTCTGCGCGTCAATTTCATCGATCAGTTGAAACCTGTCGATCGATTGGACCTTGGAGAATACCTAGATCGATTTCTAGATCGATGCAAATCAATCTGCCGTGCTATAATTACCGCATCGTAACGTGTTTCACCTCGCAGCTTCATCAGAGAAGGCATCTCTCACGTGTACGTATTTTCCCCTGCGAATCTTTACTCGAATCGAAAGAGACAAACAGACCCGAGAGGTCTATCAAGTTACTCGACTTTTTTCTTCTTACCTGCTGGAAGAGCGCCAAGGATCCACCCAAGTGGGCGAGGGGGAGGTCGAGGTTTCGAAGACTTGGCCGCTTGGAAAACGGTCGGTAACGTTGCTGTACGCAGGTTTGTACCAAGGCGAGGGGATCTTGACTATTCTAGCGGGGGTGGAAGGTTCCGTGTGGACCGTGTTTCCGTCCTCTTGCGGCACCAAAATCGACAACGAGACGCCCCGTCGTTCCGCCAACCCGACTGGATCGACACTGGCCACGCTCACGTCCCAGGGATCGACGATGGAGAGCAATACTTTCTGCGCAAACGGAACAAGGATGGAGAGAGGGGGGGGATCAGAAGAATAGCATCGCGGGAGTTGGCCAGTTAAAGTTGATTAAAGCCGTTGCGTGGCACCGCATCGTGGTTGAAAACGCGAGGAACATGGTCTTCTTGGTTTCGACGAAAAAAAGAATTAAACGATCTCGTTATTTTCGTCGGTTTAAGAAAAACGCGAGGGATTCGAGCGAATCGATTGATTATCGAAAGTGACAGCATCGGAATTGCAACGATTCGATGCGTGTTATTATATGTATCCGAATTGCATAATGAAAATTGATAATGTGTTTATCATTTGCTCCGTTTACGAATCGATTGAAATTTCGGATCCTCACGGAAGCGTATATATAAATATAATATAGTCGAGGATGCGAATTCGTTATAATGAAAAATATTATATATCACGATACTATACAATTTTCTCTCCTAATTTTCCTCATCCTCTCGAAAATCTTAAAAAGATCCCCACGGAAGCGTATATATGGATAAAAAGATATAGGATGCGATAAAAGAATTCGTAATAATTCGTAAAAATATTATATATCACGATGCTATATGATTCTATGTTTGACACGGGCAAATATAGGAACAATTAAGGGATTTAAACGGTTATACGTTTTATTATGTTCCAACGCATCGTGAACATATATATATATATATATTTGCACAGTGTATATACAATCGGTAATGCAGAGTCGGCATTATCAAGGGGGAGCCATATCTTGTTTACGCTCGACGGAGCAACGAACAGGATTTTTCGAGACAACGGCTCGAGCAACTATGCATACACCGGTATTTACAAAAAACGGCCGGCTAAGGACGAGGAAACGAAAGAGATTTTCCTAGATGCTCGTTTCTTATCGTTTGTCGATGGAAAACGGAAAACGTTCGATAAATAAAAGAGAGAGAGAAGGGAGATCGGAGTTTACGTACGATAAAAATACGATCGTGTCGACTTTATCGCATCCATGACCCGCGTTACACAGCGATATATCTTTTCGCATCTTTTCATCGCGGCGGAGACGAATTCTCGCCTCGACGACCGAGCAGGGCTGGGAAAAGAGGCGTTTGTAATCGCGTAACGGGGGCGATTACCGACGGAATAGTAAATATTTTTAGAGTTCAACGAGCGGAATCACCATCACAAAGGCGCGCGTTGTGCACCCGGCAAACGTTATATTTTTTTTGTTCTTGGCGCGGCCGTTATTGTTTCTCCTAACCTAGTATTAAAATCTCGGAGGATATTTTAATTGGTATGCAACAAAGAGGAGAATTAGCAACCGATGATCTCATTCGTGTGGTACGATTTTCTTCTTTTGCATGTCAATTCCTCGCGCGAAATTATATTCTGTTAAGTGTAAAAACTGAACCGATTTTTACTCAATACGAAAATATATTCAAACTCGATCCAATTTTTGAATTTATTTTAAATTCTTGTAAATACGTTTTGCCGTAAATTTATTAAAAATTTAACGTAAAATGCCGATATTTATTATTCTCTAATTTCGATAATACGTAACGTTGCTACCGACATCTCGTCGAGAACAAAATTTATCCAATTTTGCTTCCAATTATTATTCGCAAAGCTTAATTTAATCGTGCAATTGATCGATTGTATTTTAAGAAAAATGATAGGAAAATAATAAGAAATTGTTTCAACTTCCATCGAATATTTCATCGATGTTTTTTTTTTAAAAACATTATTTTAAATCGATCTTTTGAAGATCAAATGATCTCTCACTTTGTGACAACTGTATTTAAATATCCGACGAAAACGATAGAAACAACAATAATAAATCCGGATAAATTAATTTCGATACTATCATTTTAAATTATTTGCTCAAACTTATAAATGTTTCGCGCATTTCGCCAACACCTTTTTAATTCGAAAGAAGAGCGATTAACTAGCGAGGCTAAGTAAGTTCTTTAGTTAGAACGATTAAGATAAGAAGAGGCAAACTCCTTGAATAAAAATGATTTACGATAAATAAGTTTCTGTTTTTAATAGATTTCATCGTTTCTGCTTTATCAAAAAAAAAAAAAAGTAACATATATCATTAGAAAATTGATCGTTTTACCTATAAAAAAAATATAATATATCGACAATTATTCCTCCTTAAATAGATCGATAAAGACATAACAGAGTGTTACGTTTAAAATGGTGTAAATCAACGTGTCAATTTGTTGAATATTGTCAAAGTTACGTAAGTTACACTTTGGTTCGGCACGATGAATTTTTAGTGCGTTCTAACAACTACTTGATATATTTAAAAAAAATATACACTATACATTAACAAAATACCCGAAACATTCACGACTATTCTCTTCTCGCAAAAAAAAAAAAAAAAAAAGAAAAAAAAGAAGAAAATCCCCAGAAAAACAGCGAAGTTCGAACGATTCTTATCGCTGTCTTAACACGGTTCCATTATAAAACCTATTAAAATCGTTATCGATCTCACTTTGCTCGAGATACCTCGCCTGCCTTTTTTACCTTAACTGCTAGCTCAAAGTGTTAAACTAAAGACGCTAAACTTTAAAAAAAAAAAAAGAAAGAGAGAGAGAGAACTCACCTTCTGACCGTCGGTCCTCTTCCGTTTCCTCCTCAACCGCTCCATCCCGGTCTTCGAGAGGGGTGAATCTTGGGGAAAAAAAATTAGGCGGTCCTCGAGACTCCGCTTAAAAGAGAGCGGAGCCTCCACCTTCGAGGACAGGTGGTTTTAGACTGATCTTCCGTTCCTTATATCGGCAACCACTTAGCGATATCTTCCGAGACCGCGTTCGATGTATCGGGGACGCATACGCGCTCATCGATTCGCGAACGTTCACCAACACGTAAAAATCGAGACCGCATACGCTTGTTGTGTGTATAGGCGCGTGCATGCATAGCGAGAAGAGATATAGAACCGTCCCTCTTTCCGCCCACGGACAACCGATATCGATAAATCCAGCGAGTGACCAAATCGGAGCGAGCGCGCTTATTTACGCCGCTTCTCGATCGCCGATACACTCGCCTCCCTCTTCTCGCCCCGGCGAGAAAACCTCGAATAAAATAATTTCGAGCGACGAAATTTCCCCCCCCCCCCCAATCCTTTGGATCCTTTGGAGAGGAAGAGGAGAGAAAAGGGAGGAGAGTATTGTCGTTTTCCGGCTCGAGTTCTATCTGTCTGTCTATCTATCCGTTGCATGCAAAAACGTGACATAATTTATTATGTAAGCGGTTATTAATGTAAACATGAAATCTACGGAGGAATTGTGGAGGAACGACGACGATTCCTCGCGAGTTTAAAATTTAAAATTGTGGAAAAGAAGAAGAAAAATATGTGTGTGTGTGTGTGTGTGTGTGTGTATAGTATACACGAAGAAGACAAGTGTTGTGTAGTTCTTTCTTGTAATTTCTTTTCTCTTTTTTTTTATTATTATTTTTTCTTCTCCGTTATTCTCTTAACAAGATGATCAATCGATGGAAACAAATCGAATAATAATAATAATACGAGCTCGCTGTCGAAATCCGAAATATCCAGATTTGAACGGCGAATTAATAAAGATTTAGTCGAGCTGATTAATCGTGTGTGTGATAAATTGTTTGGAGCATTTGTTATTACGGGCTACGATTATACATAGTAGTAGTTTAATTATAACGCCTAAAGAGTTAATTATAATGATATGGTCTTATTGTATGTAACAATTGAATTAAATTATACTATCTAACTCGTTCTCCAATTCTTTTTTTTTTTTTAACTAGACAGTTTTTCCTTCTCCTTTCAACGATGACGATCGAATAGTAAGTAATTAATAATTAAACGGTTCCGCTTCCTTGACAAGACAAAACAAAGATCATCTCTTATCTATCTTTCCAATACAAAAATATTAACCAATATAACGATACGAGTAATCGTATCGGTTGAATCAGTTAATTTTTCCGTCTCAACATTCTTTTTAGTTTAGCACAACGGACGTATATAAGATAAATAAGTGTAAGGTGGTAACAAACGTAGTAGTTAAAAATTTAACGAACAACTTATATATATATATATATATATATATTATATATATATATATATATA